CCATATATTAAAATTTCAGGATATTAATAAACCACATGCAGTATGTTAAATTCATCGTTTTAAACGAAATTAGTAAACCACTTTTCTGTTTTCTGATTATATGCAGAGTATGCACATCTTTCTGCCATTCGCATTTGAATTTTTTTATCTTTTTTTGTGTTTCCTATGTGCGTTATGATTCGTCTGTGTGTGCGTTTGTGAAAATTTTGCGCCTTTTATGCGTGTGCGTATAGTATGTATTATGCTGATTTTTTTTTATGAAAAAATATGTACTTTATGTGTTAATTTCCGGTTCTCACTGTGGTCACATTTGTATGTATTTATGTATTTGCTGGCTCATCTATTACAGCCTTCTCATCACAGGCTAACTTCTGATCGAATGTATGTATGGTTGTTTTTCGTTGTGTCGTTGTTTGGTTTATTATAATGTAGTCTGGTTGTCCGAATGCGTAGGTTACTTAATCTTTTCAGGCCTTCATACAAGAATCATTTATAGTAACTCGCATTTGAATTTATGATGGGGTAGCTTGTGATGTTTACGACCCTTTTTCCCTCTATGCTCTTTGTCCTTGCGAATCTCACGTACCAATGTGTAAAATGCATCATCTACACCCATTCTTGTCTTTGCAGATGTCTCAACAAATGGAATGCCGTACTGTTTAGCCACCTGAATTTTTTTATTAATTTTTTCGTTAATAAATATAGGTTTTCTNGATGTCTCAACAAATGGAATGCCGTACTGTTTAGCCACCTGAATTTTTTTTATTAATTTTTTCGGTAGTAAATATAGGTTTTCTTTTTTTTTAATGTATTACTTACCTCTCTGGCTTGGCTCATATTTACCGCCCATGCTTGCAAATCGCACTTATTACCCACCAGCACCATTGGCACCTCTTCGGCATCTTTAACGCGCTTTATTTGCTCCCGATATGTGCCTGGTGGAAAAAAGAACCAATTATAAATATAAATTGATAACAGCGAATTTATTATAGTTATTGGNCGATATGTGCCTGGTGGAAAAAAGAACCAATTATAAATATAAATTGATAATAGGGATTTTTTATAGTTATTGATAATCTACCTATATCTTCAAAAGATTTCGCGCTGTTTACAGCAAATACGAGCAGGAAGCCCTCACCAGTGCGCATATATTGGTCACGCATAGCTGAATACTCTTCTTGGCCGGCGGTATCTAAAATATCCAAAAGACACGTTTCGCCATCTGAAACGTAGAAAAATTAAGTGTTTTATATGTATCGAGAGTGCCAATAGATATTGTTTGGAACAATGTTCAGATACTTACCGATAACCACTTGCTTCCTGTAGGAATCTTCGATCGTAGGATCGTATTCGTCTACGAAATGATTTTGTATCAATTGGATTGTGAGTGCAGATTTGCCAACACCTCCGGCGCCCACGACTACCAATTTGTACTCCGTCATTGTTGATTCTTGTTATAATTTTTGTTTATAAAGGGCGATTTAATGTTTATTGGGAGTGAACTTGGAAGTACTGATAAGCCCGTACGGCTTCTGCAAGTACCCTTAAACGTAAATTTTGTTGATTTTTGTGGTCTCGCTAAAGTTTTTTCTTCTTTTATATACTAAACATTAGTTAAGGCTGTTAACCTGTAAATGCTATTATTTTCCTATAAATAAAAAAAAGTACAGAAAAAAATGTAGCCTGGTATGTATATGACAATGTTTTTATATACAGACTAAACCACGATGGAAGATTAATCTCATCGGAGTTGCAGGTTAAAATTAATTAATATAAGAGTCATCCAGACGGCGATGTTTTTTGTCGCCGTGTTCTTATTGAAATGTTCGGCGCTGCGAGTGACTCATTTTGAGTCAATTATGTCCCGAATTTATATCAAATGAAAACAGTGCCTACATACATATATGTAATACCGTGCATTGCACTTCTCCAGCGGTTGCACATACGCCCATAACATATGTGAGTGCAACAAAAATTGTTCATATGTGTATGTGGGTAAAACGCTCCCGTTCTCCCAATCAAGAACACAACCGTGGTGCGCCGCTTTCGGTTGGGGGTTCATCCCAAGCACAGCCGTTATAAGAAAAACAATCGATGTTACAATATCAAGATTGACGCACTATGAGGATCACCATTTGCTTACACTAGTGTTTTCCGCACGCACCATTCGATTACATTACAAATCTCAGAAAATCATGTTGCCATTGTTCCACTGTATTCTTGTTCTTCCCATAGTTTTTTAGTTCACATAAATTGTTCAGATACATGAAGTTAATTGTACATATTTCATATTAGAATGGAAAATCTGTTTCGTACCCTTTTCGCACCAGCCGCACCTTAGTAAGAAGACTAATTTGTTTATATTTTCCCAACAGTTTCACTGCAAAATATACGTTTTTCAACAAGATACTTTCCGCCCTGTTTTTTTCGTTTTACCTTTCAACTCAGGTTCGTTTCGTCGCCATCTTGCCAGGGTTGTATTTGAAAGCGCACTCATTTAGTGCGTTCCAGTAGCGCGTTTCTGTACCCTTGCGATACAACTTTTATCGTAAAATATTGATACGATTATTGTTGTTTAATTAGACTAGACAGAGCAACTTTTGTAGCTCGTTTTCGGCAATTTCTCTTTTGGTGTTACCCTTCGCGTTCACACAGAGAAATCCTTTTGTACACAATTATTGTTGTCAGCTATGAACGGCCAACAGGAATTACTCAGACGAAGGAGAGCACAAAGCGTGTTGCCCGAGCAGGAGCAACTCGGTGCCCTTTCCCCTTCCACGTCTCCTCCTCCTTCACAAGTAACGAGTTGCCGCGACATAAGTTTCTCTGTCTGAATATAGAACGTTCATAGTGCATTGGAAATACTGGAAAAAATTAAAACTATAGCATGAACGAAAGACACAAGATCACGCCTTCCCGAAAAAATGTTATTTTCTAGCTGTTGAAATCTCGACGCCATCTTTGTTGTAAGAAGTAAACAACGAAGAGAACGCAAAAAAACGCGTAATTGTTAAACGCATGAATAATAATTTTTATTATGCAAATTCTTCTATAAATCATGTCGTTGTGTTAAATTATTCCTTACCTTACGTGTACACACGTTGTCACAAGCGGAAATTAAGAAAATTGCAGTAAAAAGCCATCACCAAATTGTAAACAACGAACAAATGTAAACAAACGGCTAATGTCAAAGTCGCTCAACTTTTTTCCTAAATGCGATTATAACTGGCTACTAAGAAGAAGGCGTGATCTTGTTTTTTTGGTTCATGAAACTATAGTTACAAGCAGTGATCGGACCTAAAAAAATTTGTGTGGTAGAATCTGGAAAAAAATGTGGTAGATTTCAAAAAAATTTGGTAGATCTCAGGTTTTGGATCAAACTTTGTACAAAAATTTAAAAAATTCTGCAAGGTTTGACCGAAATTGCAATCCTTTTAACTAGAATCTAAAAAAAAAAAAGTTTAGTATAATAAAGTGCAAGATTGAAGTTGCTAAAAATTGTTTTGAGTTTTGACAATTTATTTCCTTGACAGTGTAAAGCGGAACTTTCATATCAAGATATTTTTCGAACATATTTTGAAGGATTTCTGCAACCTTGCGGAGTGCTGGCAGCTTTTCTTTTTATCACATCACGATGTAGCGCACAAATGTGGCACGTTCCAACATGAACCAAAAAGACAAGATCACGACAGCAGAAGAGTTTNGGATCAAACTTTGTACAAAAATTTAAAAAATTCTGCAAGGTTTGACCGAAATTGCAATCCTTTTAATTAGAATCTAAAAAAAAAAAAGTTTAGTATAATAAAGTGCAAGATTGAAGTTGCTAAAAATTGTTTTGAGTTTTGACAATTTCTTTCCTTGACAGTGTAAAGCGGAACTTTCATATCAAGATATTTTTCGAACATATTTTGAAGGACTTCTGCAACCTTGCGGAGTGCTGGCAGCTTTTATTTTTATCACATCACGATGTAGCGCACAAATGTGGCACGTTCCAACAGCTTCTTGGGATTTGCCGATTTTGAAAATTCTCAAGTAAAAGTAAACATCGCTTTAGATGCACTGAAACGTGCTAATACTTTCACAAAAATTGCCGTTTTTAACATTTTCGCTATTAATTCTTTTCATAAATCATATATTTTGCAATTTAACATAATAAAACCCAGTTTCCCGTCGAAAGATTGAATTGTTAGTGTTTAGTGTTGGAAAATGTTTGCTCTTAAAATTAAGAAAATTATGTCGAGCAGAAATAAAACTACACTCAAAAACGCGAATATGTGGTAGATTTCATACCTTGTGTGGTAGATGTGGTAGATGCTCAAAAACGTAGCAGATCTACCACAATGTGGTGCAAGTCCAGCCATGAACCAAAAATACAAGATCACGTAAGAACGCGACGTTGTATTTGTAACTGGTTTTGAGAAAAAAGTTTGCGAAAGCGGGTTCGTCAGCTGAGCGTTTGTTTACATCACAAGCACCACTATTTTACACTTTTATTCAAGTAAAGAAGAGTTAATTCAACATGACAACACATTTTAAAGCATTTTGATGCATCATTTTACCTCAATTGTGCGTTTAAAGTGGCTGACAATAATTTTGGCTAATTTTGGTTTTCGTTGTTTTCTTTGCTTTGTTTACTTTTCGCTCGTTTTCCAGTGAAACAAGATGGCGTAGAACCCGCTAAAAAAATCGACTTTTTTCACTCTCTTGTTCTTACGTGATCTTGTGTCTTTCGTTCATGCAAGTCCAGTCACTGGTAACAAGAGAGGAAGTGTAATCCAGCTCATTTTCTAAGGGAAATAAAAGAAAATCACTCTCGCTCATTAAAATTTCAAATCGATAATGGGCTGGATTTCGAATTCATAACGAAGGAAAAATACATTGGATAACAAGGTTCCGTTTTTCTGGAGAATGACCTAGCTCTCGAATCGATTACTAATCTATTACACATTAGTTATCGAAGGTGAGACTCGAAAAATATATTGGTTTTCCAATCATTTTCGAATTGTTAACTAAGCCCAATGTTTATTGGGTACCTTGTTCGAATTCGCCTTGAACACAGCCATACACAAACGACAAGAGGCAGACGGTGTGGGATTCGTATATAAATTTGTATTTTATTGATTAGAAAACTAGAACATGATAAATAAATTAGAGTTTAATAACTTGGTAAATATATTTATGATTTGCGAAAATATTCTTAGTAAGCAATACAACTTTTCTGCAGGTAATCACCAATAAGAAAAAAATACAAAAGATAAAGACTCAGACTATTCAAAAATTAGTACAAAAAATTAAGAAACTCAAATATATACTTGAGAAAAAGCCAGAATATGAAAAAAATAAAGAGCGCTTCCGCAAAGCCACATTGTGTTTGGAGGAGTTAAAGGTAAGTAAGTTCAACTACAAATCTTATATCCACTTAAAAAAAATAATCACAATAAATATGTGTGTATTACAAAATTCATATAGAAGTTGAAATGCATCGATTTGATGAAACGTGTCTTGGTATTAGAAAAGAGTCCCTCTGCTATTTTAACAAATGGACTATGTTCACCCGAAGAGATGGCCGTGGCAATGGTTGCGGTCAATAAGCTCATGCACGATCTAGTGAATGTTTTAAAAGAAAACTTGGGGCTTACTGACGAAAACAATGCATGGAAGAAAGAGCTGATGCAAGCTAGCAAAAGGCGTGTTAAAATCTTACGGACGGAGCAGAAGCGCAAAAATCGACAAAATTTAAAAGCACAGAAGATTATAGCTTGCAAACGCTTGGAGTGGTTAAAAAATCAAAACTGCGAACAGAGCGAAGTTAATGGGGATGAAAATAATGTTTCGACAGGCTTACAACACGACGAGGGTGCTAATATATCAACTCTGGGTTATTGGAAGATAGAGCCTATCAATGACGAGAGCAGTAAGAAGTCGGAAAAAGGAAAGACTAATTACAAGGAAACCAGGGCAGAAGAAAAAGCTGTAAAAAAGAGGGACAAACCGGAGGCAAGTAATAGAAACATCTTGAAAACCACCACAAAAACTTCGGACCAACTAAAGAGTAACAATACGAGAAAGCAGGATTTAGAAAGAAACGTCATTGAACCAACAAAAAATATGCTTATAAGTTTCGATTCAAATTTAGAAGACGAGAAGGTCCCAGAATCACTCAAAGAAGAAATTACTCACGTGGTCGATCCATTCTTCATTACAGCTAGTGGTGAAAATTATCGATCTACAGCGGTTGTTGTTCGAAATGGTCAAGTCTTAGATTCTCAAACAAATAAAGCTAATGATAATGCACGCAAGAGGCCAGTCGAAAACTACACGACACGTGAAAACCGCTCCAATGTTAGAATACATAATAAAGACGTTCAGGATAAAAGCCGCCAAAGTACTGGAAAGAAAAACAATTCAGAAGGGTTACATCCTTCCTGGGAAGCAAAACAGAAACTTAAACCAGTGATAGGTAGTTTTCAGGGCAAGAAGATAAAGTTCGACGATGTCGATAACATTGACCTTGAAGAAAGAAGGGATGAAGAAGTCGGGCCGAAAAATAACTTCGCACTAAATAAAAGTACCAAGTCCACGGCAAATGACAAGGACTTACACCCTTCCTGGGCGGCAAAACAAAAATTTAAACCAGTAATCACCGATTTTAAAGGAAAGAAAATAGTTTTCGGAGATGAAGTCCACGAAGAAATCAAGACACAGGAACCTTATAAAGTTGCTGCACCACCGAAAAATGCTAAAAGGTTGAATACAACAGATACACTGCATCCTTCATGGATAGCGAAACAGAAGCTAAAGCCTGCCATAGCCACTTTTCAGGGTAAAAAAATCACGTTCAATGATGACGATTAGTTGTAGCGGTGTGAGGGCCTCCCAGAGTTTAAAAGATATCCAGGTCGAGGGACAGCCCATGGCCAGATATAAATCTGGGACATTACGTTGCGATGATGGACATATATATACCTGACTCATATGGGAACGCAATCCTCATGTCTCCTGTTGGTACTAGATAAAATACACTTTTCTTATTTATACAAAACATTTTATTATTTCGTTACAACTTATTCAGACATCGACCTTAGGCACAGAGTGTCCACGAGTTTTATCATCTCTCAACAACTTATCAATGTCCACATCTGGATACTTACGCCGCAACATATGGACATCTATGTTCGGGTTACGTCGTAACATCATCATGACTTCGTTGCGGGAACGACTAATATGCAAATATTTTTTTTTTAGAATATTGAACATAATAAAAAGTAAATTTGAAAAACATACTTCTTGGCTTTGCGTTTTACATTGTAGAGTTTCTCACGGTACAATAACAAGAATTTGCGCACCGCTCGTCCACCGAAACCAATATTTCGCGATTTTATCCATTTGACGTTCATATAAGGGGGCAATACGTGTTCACAGGATCTAAATTTTGTTCTATATTAAATATTTTTCTCAAACAAATTCTAATGAATAGACCTGTATAAGTAGCGAATACCTAGTTGATTGGATACTACGCGACTTGGGCGTTCACCGGTTTCGCCTGTTTCAAGTAGATGGTAGGCCTTATTTCTTTCACGGACGACTGATTCTAGATTTTCCATTGATATTTTTACCTATTTAAAAATAAAGAAAAATCAGCACGATTTATGCTATAACAACTCTTACCTTATCTAAACGTTCTGGACTAGGAAATAATTCCATTTTGTCATTGCATTCATGCTCCATTGTAAGCAGCATGTTCCGCTCTTTGAGAAGAATATACCACAATTGATGCAATTCTTTGTTTGATTTGATACGTAACTCTTCCAGTTTCCAAGCACGACCAACTTTCACCTCATTTTCTGGCCAGTTTTTAGGGTCATCGAAGAATTCCATTAAACCTCGACATTGGCTTGTTGAATGAAATGACCGCGCCGTCACTGCCCCCAAAACAGTAGATTTCACATTTTGTTGTTTGTATAGTATTCTGCGGGTGGTAGAATCAGGTTATGTAAATATGAAAACCGTAATAGAACTTTACCATGACTATTTACTATTTACCTGGTTAATAATACATTTGAAATAGATGTGCTGGCGGCGCTATTAATAATAGTTTTAAAATTTTTTGCAACATTTAATACTTTTAAAACTGAAACCATCTTTTTGTAATGAAGCACAATATAACCAGTAAACAACCTTCGGTGAATTTGGCGACTGCCTTCCTCGGGGATGAATATGCTAGGGATGAAATTATTGGTACACACGCCTTCCAAGCACGCAGGGTTGCTTTTAATAATAATAATAATAATAGTTTGGCGCTTACACATATGTTAGTGTTTGGCCGAGCTTCTCCTCCGAGTTGTGGCGTGCGCCTTGATGTTGTCACACAAAGCGGGGGGACCTACAGTTTTACGCCGACTCCGAACGGCGATTGTATTTTTATGAGAAGCTGTTTTTCATGGCAGAAATACACTCGGAGGTTTGCCGTTGCCTGCCGAGGGACGACCGCTGTTAAGAAAAAACCTTTTTCTACATTTTTTGCGATGTTGCTTTGACCAGGGCTTGAACCCAGGCGTTGCGGAGTGGAAGCGCGCACTGCTTACCACTACACCACAGCGGCCGAGGGTTGCTTTTAAGAAGCAATAATAATTAACTCCAAATGGTTTCAAAAAGTATAGTGCAAAACTAAATTTATTGAATAATTCCACATAAAATGGTATACATAAATGACTCATTTTCTAAACGATTTAAATAAAACGCATTTTATAACCTTTTTTGTGCAAACGGCATTTGCGAATTGATAGAAAAGTACTACGGATTGTAAATTTTTGTTAACTATGAGGTGAATGA